CAGTTGCATTTCCTAGTTTGTCTTCTATTACTCAAAACCTCCACCGTGGTCCATGGCTCATGGTCCCCCACTGCTTTCCCATGGATTGAAACATTTCATCTGTGGTAAGAGTCATCATTCTTTGCCCTCAAAGCTGGCACATCCGGGGCTGGGTTTTCATTCAACTAGAGCCCACAGAGCATTGTTTCTCAGACTTTTCCCTGAGATGCTGGTAAGAGCAGAGGAGAATTCATCAAAACCTGAAGCTGTGCCCAGCAAGTCTGAGTATTCCCTGAAGCTGCCTTCTCTCTCTTACCCAGTATTTATAGAATAGCCATGTGCCTGGATATTTTATATGTTTCCTTAAAATTTCATTTGTGGTAATAGTAGATCAGGGTTAATTTCCTGGTTTTCATGGCTGTGCTGTGGTTATGGATGCAGCAGTACTTGTAATTCGGAGATGTTCACTTTAGTAATAAGGGTAGTGGGGCACCACGTCTGTAACTTATTCTCAGATGGTTCAGAACTGTTAACAATTAGGGAACTGGGGTGAAGCATGTAGGGGAGTTTTTCTAATTTACATGGACATTTGAAATTATTTCAAACCAAACATTTAAAATTTCAAAAAAGTGGAATTTATTTAAATTCTTCAATATACTTCATCATACAGTTTCATGCAAAAAGTAATGTTTTATTGTTCGTTATGCTCCAGAAGATTGGAGACTGATGAGAATTAGGCTTGAGATGGATTAATGATTGTGCATTGAGCATTGACCCCCCTATACAGAATTTTATTGTTGTTAATAATAAAATTTGATGAATAAATATGAGAGATGCCCTCTCAAAAAAAAAAAGTAATGTTTTAAATTACTTCTGCTCCCTCAAAATAGTTGCAGCAAAATTGGGAAAGAAGACCTTTACCTTGTGGCTTTCTGTGCTGTCTGTGCTCATCTACATTCAGGTGAGGAGGGTAGGAGGGCCCTGCTCTCATCAAGTTTCCTTTAACTTGCTTTTCTTGGGTCTGTGCCTTGGACCAGTATTTCTCTTCAGGAATTCAGTGAGGAAGATGAGACAGTCATGAGATCAGGGCAGTAGGAAGGTCTTTCACATGCTAAAAAATGAAAAAACAGACTGAGAGCACGTGCACAGTGACTGGAACATAGAAACCCCTCAGGAAACGTTAGCTGGGACCACTCTTTTTCATTGTCGTCGTTGCTGTCCCTGGGAGTCCGAATACTCTGTGCAGGCTGGTTAAGCCAGAGACCACAAAAATGCATGTGAGGGGAGCCACATGACTCGGGTCTGGCAGGGCTGAAGATTATATCTTCTCCTTCTTAAGGACAGATCCTCTTGTCAGGAACAAAGGGAGACAACCCACCCACTGAGGCAAGACCATGGTGGGACTGGGCTCCCTGAGAAGGCCCCAGGACTGCACAGTAAAGAAAAGTGGACCTGGGAGGAGACAGGGTCAGCCACAGGGCACAGAGTGAGGCTCCCCAGAAGGAGTGTGGCATGTGGCAACTGGATTTCATGGGATAGAGCTGTGAGGCTCAGAGTCCAGAAGCCAGGATCCAGGATATCTCATGGCCATGGGCCTTCAGAGCCAGAGACTTCTTTTGGAGGAGAATCCTTCTTGGAGAGATCCCCTGTGGAAGCTTCTGATAAGGCTCCTGCCTCAATCTCAGGCCAGCCCAGTTCTCCTGTCTTGGTTGTTGACTCATTGCCAAGACCTCCAATCCCAGCAAGCAGACTAATAACACTCCGAGAAGCCAGGCAAGGCAGCCCTGTTGTTCCCCAGAGCTGCTCAGTAGCCGTCTTTCCATCCTTCTTGTTCCCCTCTGGGCTTTTTCAGCCTGAGCTCATCTCTACAGTTTCCTAGACTTTCATTCTGTTTGCATTTTTCTCTTCTCTTCGCTCCTCTCTCTCCCCAGGTTGTTATGTATACTCAGGAAGTAATGGCAGAGCTAGATATTCACCATCTCAGGTTCGTCTCAGCCTTGGTGCCTCCAGAAAGCCTCACCAGCAGTCCTTCCCACACCCTGTCACAGGTGAGCTATCAAAGCAGCCTAGCTTTCAGCTCGCTAGTTAGTCATAGCTGAACTTGCCCCCCTGCACCTGCACCTCCATGAACAGGTTCCTCCACCACCCTCTTCCGAGGGACCAGGAACCCGTTCTGCAGTCTCACACAGGAGCCCAAGCAGAGGACCAGAAAATGTACACCTCATTTGCCTTAGCCATTCCAGGTCACCTGTAGCGGCCCTGGCCCCTCCTGCACCAGTGACACCCCTCTGGAACAGCTTTCTAACCCAACAGTCTGCCTCTCACCACCAGAAGGCCGTCTGGAGGTGTGGCCTGATGCACTCTACACACTAAGGATGGCATCTCTTTCCTCCTGTGGCTGTTGTAGAGCCCTGTGCTGACCTGACCCTTGAGTAATGCGGGGTATTTTATCCTGGCCACCTTGAGTAAAGTGGTAAATAGTACACTCAAGGCTACCAGCCCTGGAATGGCCAGGGCCATGTTCAATACCACCATACCATCCTGGGCACTTTTATATTTCATCACACCACATGAAATCTATTTAAAATGTATATTCCTCATTCAATATCACTCCTGCAGAACTGTATCTGATTTTGCAAGTTTTACTTTTGAAGTTATTTGACCACTAGTAATTTGTGATAGGCACTGTTTCTTCTGCAGTTGTGGTATTTGGAAATTCCTGTAAAATGAGAATATCTAACCTAAGATTATTTTCCAGTGTAGTAAACTTTCTATGCATGCCAAATTTCAAAAGAAAGGAAATCAACTTTCTGTTATTGTGGTACCAGGTAAGTAAATATTTTAAATTTGATTTTGCACTTGACTTCTTCTGTATTGGAACTAATATATTTTTTCCTAGTCCCAAATGTTATATAGGCCCTTGGAAACCTCCCAGACCTTTGGCATGGAGTCTCTAGTCCTTAATGGATAGAACAGCCCTGAGACCGTGGCAGTTGGGAAGACTTATGATGAATGACTAGGATCAAATACACAGTCAAATGAACCCCTTTCCCAGGCCCCCCTGAGTGGGGGATGGCCTGTGCAGCACCTACTTGAAGGAAAGCATGTTTGCAACTTAATTGGATTCAGAGCTTGCGAAGCCTGTGGCAATCATCTTGGTCAGTTTGAAATGCTTCAGCTAGCCCTTGACACCTGCTGCCATCCTTACCCTCTCATTCCATTGCCCAGAGGCTGAGGTCTACAACTGTTAACTGTGTAATCACTTGGTAATCCTTTTGTGGCAATGCAGCAAGAGGCTCTGCTGAGGGCCCATAAAAGAGAAATGACTTCCCCAATTAATATATATCTTTTAAAACATTATTTTATATTATACATATATATTTACAAAGATCTATGTATGCGTATATGCTCCCTGGCACCCAAGTCAACTGCCTACTGAATACTGTTCTCCTGGGTTCAATAATCAGGGCTTATTAGCTTTGTAGGGAGGAGTCCATGATGGATCCCCATGATGGCAAGGGTGAGCTCTCCTGGTGAACCAGGCTCCACCTTGGAGACAAGGGACAAATATCCCAGATGTTTCCCATCTGCCAATGCTGATCCTAGGAGCCTCAGTGGTTTTTGCTACTTTGAGGAACATTTTATCTCAAAGGCAGTAAAGTCACACAAATCCCAGAGGTCAAGATGCTGGGAGGGGCCCAACACACCAGTGCAGACCTCAGAAGCTGTTGGGGCCCCGCAGAGCACGGGCCCAACTGCAGTCATTTGCTTCCTCTCTTGACAACTGTTGCAGTATCCACTTACTGCCGATGTTATGATTTACTACATATATATGCGTACTCATTTAGTTCAAATAATTCTTTGAAAATGAAACTGTGCAACACCTTATCTCAAAGAATATAGTGTCAGTTACTAAACAGAAGTAAAAATAAATTTAATGAGTGTCACCCAATTCTTAAAAATTCTATCCAGATACTGTTTTCAGCTGAAGACTCAGGCTGAGGTCTGATGTCTCTAGTGAAAAGGGGCAGAACCAAAAAATTTTTCTTCTTGCTCTAACAGGAGACTTTCTCCCACACTTTATCAGAAGGATTTGAAGAGAATCATCGAAGGCCACATTCACGCACCACCTAAGTCCACAAGCAGAGGCACACTCACTATGCTCTGCCTCCTTCCCTTTTCAACCTGGCACTAACCCAAAGGGATGGGTTCACAGTGAGGAGGCTCCTGGCCCTGGCTCTTCCACTCACTTGGTGGCCTCAGGAGGGGCACTTGCCCTTTCAGGAATTCCAGCGCCTTCATCTATAGTGATAGAGAGTTGATCGAGAGGATCTCCAAGGACTCCTCCAGCTCTAGACCTCTGTCATTCCGAGACTTTCCCCGACAGGGCAGGATGTCCCAGCCGTGGGAAGAACCCAACTCACCGCGCTGCTTGGCCAGCTGCAGCAATGATCCCCTTACTGGGAGTGACTATTTTTCTAGCTTCAGTGAGAAACTAGGCTGCAGAACAGAAAGGAATTAGCCTGACTTCACAACTTTAATACTGACCCTTCCAAGAACGCCTGAGCTAGCCTGTAAGAATGAGGTATGCAGCCTGGGCCCATTTTCTTCCAAGAATAGTTGCCCTTTTTGGTCTGACTTCTCAAAGTTTCAAACAAGAAACATGGGCGTGTGGAAAGACTAGGGGCTTTGGAAGCCAAGAGACGTTGATTAAAATCCTGTATTTGCCACTCCAGCTGTGTGATGATGGGCAGTTTCCTTAACTTTTCTGAGTCTTGGTTTGCTCATGTATAAAAAAAGGTAATCAACTCACCTCATAAATTCTTATGAGGGATGAACAATTTACGTATTTATTGGGGGCATAAAAAGGCACATTATCCACTGAGAATGAATAATAAAATGCCAGTGGCATTTTTAAATATCTGAGGCTGCAGGAGCCCTGCAGTAATTGACATAAGGCACGAAAGTCTTAGTAAGGCTAGCAGATGCCCTCCCAGTGACCCACTCTCCCCCTGAGAGTGATGGCAGCAGCCAGAGCAGGCCTCCACCCCCTGCTGGGGACATGGGTGGCCAAGGTCCTGTTCAGGGCCAAGCCCAGCACCATGACCTCAGCTCAGTGGTCTGAAACCCAGCACATGCAGTCCAAGCCCCAGGGATGTAACAGAGTGGGCAACATCAACAAGGACCCCAGATGCTGCAAAGACCTCAACACCTTCCTGCACGAATCCTCCCCTGGTGTGGCCAAAGCCTGTCAGACCCCAATCATTGCTTGCAAGAGTGGCCATGAAAACTGCCACCAGAGCCAAGGGCCTGTGTCCCTGACCACGTGTGAGCTCACCTCGGGGAGGTACCCAGACTGCAGGTACAAAGAGAGCACCTAGCGGCTCCTCACATGGTGGCCTCTGAGCCTTCCCAGCGGAAGGATAACCTGGTTGCAGCTGCTACCGACTGGTTCCAGGCGCTTGGGTAATGTCCAAGGCCAGGTGGCCTCCACCCCCAGCCCAGGCTCTGCAGACTCCCTACACTGCTGCTATGTTTCCTCCCTGGAGTTCTTTGCTAATCCTTACCCTCTTTGCAAATACCTTTTCCCTCCCACACCCCTAACTTCACATACTCTTAATTCCTTAGGAGGTTTTATGGAGGCTCCAAATGATAAGGGAATAGAGTCATTTTCTATAGCCCTTCACGGCTGTTTACCTTGCTTTCTGTGTGATACCATGTGGCTCTTTTAGGGTCAAGCACCAAGGATCTAGGTAAGGGTAGATCCAGGTTTTGTGGGGTCTAAGACATATATGATTTTGGAGACCCTCGTAAAGAAAAAGGATAGAAAATTACAAATGCAAACTTAGGCCAGGGCCTAGGAGAGGCTGTGGTTGGCCAGTTCAGTAGGATCCAGGCAGGTGAGATTATCTAAGGAGGGAGGGGAGAAGTATCTGCCCTGGGTTCCCTATGTTGGGCAAAGGAGCATGTCTGATTTGGCTGCAGTAAGACTCTGCTCTTCCTGAGTGTATGTTACTGTTACTGGGGAACATACGGAGGTTTGGAGACCTCCTTATCTCTGTGAGTCCTCAGCTTCCCCCACTCTGTAGGCAGGATGGAGGGCAGCATTCTGAGCAGGCTGGGGCTTGAGGCACAGGTGGGACTCTCTCCCACCCCATGATAATGGCCTGGTGGTCCCATCTCACATGCAGGGGAGGAAGGGGGACAAGCAGGCTGTGCCCCCGGTTGCCAGTCAGATCTGTAGCCTGACCCCCTTGTTTGTGCTGAAGACCTGACCTTATGCCTCATTGATATGACCCAGAGCAAGAACCTCAGACTCCTGAAGTGAGTTTCCCTCCTTTAGGAATTTCAGAATCAGGACCTTTCAAGAATCCTGACCTGGTCCTAATTAGTGCTTCTCTCACTGTGGTGGAGGAGCAGTTTTATGTGCGATCTGCCACAGACTAAAACTTCCACAAAATGTAATAAAATGAATTGCTAGAAAAATTAAATAAAGAAACACAAGGCCAAATTTTTCATTATTAGATTCAATTAACATAAATCATCCATCAACTTGGTGTAAAAGTTCCTCAATGCTTCCTCTCAATTTCTGTACTTGATAGAAAAACATGCACATTATGCATATGTAAGTACCAACATAAGACATACATATCCATATATATATATATACATATAGGGACACGGTCTCACACATGGGTACATGTAAGAACGAAGTACATGGAGACACATATGCTCATGTGAATGCTGTACAGTAAGGCAGCACCTCTCCTTCTCTCTACAGACTCTTCCTCTTCCACACACCTCCCTTCCCATATCTAGGAAGTTTTTCTACACAGACTAAGGCTTGGAATAAGGACAGGATGTTTGGTGAAACATGAAGTGGTAGAGAAAGCAAAGACTCCAAAAATTCCACTCCCAGCCCCCTTCCCTTCTTTCCAGAGAGAGATCTAAGGCAGCTCCCCCTGGTGCCCACCAGACCCACACCACCCCACAGAGCAGAGCGTCCCCCACAGCGTCCCTACGGCCCTCCATGCCCAGCTCTGCCCGGCACTATCACTGCCTTGGCCAACGCTCTGGCCAAGGAAGACATGCTGGAAGTGAGAGAACAGCATTCTTCTTCCCCTCTGACTCCTCCCCAGGGTCGTGAACAGGCTCCACTTCCTTTGTCTGCACTGTAAATGACAGTGTTCTCAGGGTCCTATTCTCAGCTCTTTTCTTCTCCCATGCACTCCCTCAAGTGACCTGATACACTTCCATGGCTTTAACTGCCACTTACCTGCTACTGTAAGCATTATCTCCTGCCCTATCTCCCAAGTTTCAGGCACATATATTCATCCAACTACTGTGACTCAGTGTCCTGCAGGCATCTTAAGGACACACTCAGAAGAGAGTTCCTGACCTTCCTGGCTCCCAGACTTTCCCCTCCTCCCAGTCTCTGTCTTGGTTAATAGAAACTACACACCCAATCATTCAAGGTCCTAACCTAAAAGGCTCCTGCGTCAACTCATCCTTTTCAGTTTGTTGGCTTCTTCAGTAACTCCCTGTCTATACCAGGTATTGCCTTAAGAGGGCACAAAGTTCTTGGGTTTTCTTTTTTCCAGATACCACTGGGTTCCTAGTGTGTCCAACACACATTTTGGCTTTGTTGGGGGCTGTGATTTGGAGTTAGACAAACACACCTAAGTCGTTGCAACCAAGGATTCATTATCTAGCTTAACAAGTAAATAAAAGTAGTGTCTTTGAAATGCTATCAAAGGTTGATGGGAGAGTATGTTGAAGCAAGTGGATTCTGAAACATTTTTCTCCCACTTTCCCTGGGGTTTCATTTACCCTAGCCCAAAGCCTATTCTCTATTTAATGCTAATCTTCCTGTTACATGTCTCTGGCAAAATATTAGGTCTGTAATCAGAGTGAAGTAAGATGAGGAGAAATTCAACCATTCAATATCTGTAAGAACTGTGGGTCCAGAAGCTAGAAAGAGTGTGGAAAGAAATCAGAATAAAATAAATCCTTAAAGAGATTAATTGTATCCAAACAAGTGGTGTAGCAACCTGGGTAGGAGTTTCTGACTTCCGTGCGCGTAGGTTGAAGAATTAGAGTGTAACTTGAATCTAGGAGCTTGGGCTCTGAAACTGGCCCATTCAGAGAGGAACAACACAGCAACCATAATACAGGTCTCAGTGGGACCACTGGGGGCTAGAAAGAGCTGCCTGAGAGCCTTGGGACAAAAATCTCTGCTGGGCCACTTCTTAGTGTTTCCAAAAAATCACTTGGGAGGGGACTCCCAAGCCATTTAGGATGACAATTATTTCCTAGTGGGTAAGTTTGTTTTAATATCCAGAAATTTTTAAATTAAGGATAGAAATATTTAAAAGAATCAAACATATAACATGAATATGTTTGTATTCCAGAATTCGTGCATATTTGGTATTTTAGGTATTTGCAGTGTATAAGAGAATTTAGTCTTTTACAGTAACAAATTGGCTTTGCAATCTAATTTAAAATGTGTTTAGACATGTGATTTGAAATAGAATTTTCCTTTGAAATTAGCTTTGGAACATTGAAGAAAACTGAAGAATTGAATCAATATATTTATAAAGTGTTACATTTGTAAGAGTTTTTTAGGTATTTAGGAATGTCTTGTTGGTTAAGTCAGATGACCAAATAACTTTTATAAATTTATAAAAAATATTTTTAAATGTTTAAAGGAGCCTTATTAACTACATTTATAACTGGTACCAAATAGTCATCAAATACAACCCTTTAAAGTGATTATTAAACTGCAGTTGTTTGTAATTTAAATATAAAAGCTTAAGGAAGAAGTGGGCTTCTGATTTGGAACTTTAATATAGGGAACATACAATTTAAAAAGCAAAGCAACCATCTGAATATTCTTTTCTGAGTACAAAAAAAGGATATTTAAAAAATTCATATTGACACTGCCAGACCAGTCCATTTTCTGTGCTGTTTCCATCTACACGGCACACAGTTAGCTTCAGTGACTGAATTTCCTGGTGCTCGCACGTTTGTTGGTTTCACTGAGCCTTTGCAAGGGAAAGCACCGCTGGTGATTCAGTAGCCCAGGCTCAGGTTTAAGGCATACAGCTGGTTTTGGTGGTCCCAGAAAACCTGGAATGCATCTCTTCTCATTGCCCTCCTTCCTCTGCAGCGTGACTCCAGGTGGATCTGCTGACTGGCACTCTGGAGGAACTGAGGCCAGCAGGGCTTCCCTGAGGCCAGTGAGGCAGTGACAAAGGAACTCAGCAAGATATACACGAAGAAAACAGTAAAACTCAGACTATGGTTGAATCTCCATCCTCAATAGAGGCTTTTCCTCCTTTGGCCAAACTTGGAGTTTTGGGACTACATTTTACTAAGGTGGCTTTAAAACAAAACTAAAAAACAACAGATTGTTAAGCAACTGGTTCCTTCAATAAATCAGGCTGCTTGCCTGGAAGTGAGAGTGTGTGTGTGTGTGTGTGTGTGTGTGTAAACACACATATGTTCATGGTGGGAGGTGAAGTTATATTAGTGGAGTGAGGAGTGCTATATTCCACCAATTATAGATTCTTTGGAGAACAGAACTCCTCATTTTAAGTACAAACATCCTTTGGCAGAAATAAAAAGCAAGACAATGTAAAAATTACTTGGAATCAATCATTTAGGTTCTGGATTTGGTTTGGGAGCATTTGGAAGCATGGCAAAGTATACAGACAGAAGTTTTGTAATAAGGGGTCTTCAGAATAGGTCAGATATGGGCAGAGACCTGGAGTACACATGAACACAGAAAAGGAGATATCAAGGAACTAGAGACAAAGTTGTAACCACCTGCTTAGCAGTTCTAAAGACTGGGGGGGTGGGGGGTGGAGGTAGAACTTCACACTGTTGTGATTTCCAGATCATCTGCACCAGGAGACTCTGCTCGGAGTCTGCCAGTGAAGCTCAGGCCACTCCTAGGTATACCTGGTGTATGTTAGGTCTTAATAAATGTTTAACAGAAACTCATTTTCAGAGCAAAGGAATAGAGCTAGGAAAATAAACACATCACAAATTTGGAAAGTTTATAAAATAAATTCTTTAAAACTCTCTCATTATGTTTAAAAATTTTCAGAGTGGGGGAAATCTACTACCTCTGGAGAAAGATAGTGCCATTTTCCAGCAGGCCTAAGTATGAAAAATGCCCCTACATAGAACCTAATCTACATCTCTGTCCCTGTGGCAATTCACTGATGCCGAGTCTCTTTGAGCCATTCATAATAAATCCAATTCCTCTTTATACTCAACCATTTAAATATTTTAAGAGGGTTTCACGAACCTTGCCCTCCAAATACTGCCTCATCAGACAATAACAAGAGCTATAAAATGGCTCCTACTGTTTGAT